TAGGTGCAAGTCCCTGAGGCATAGATGGAGACAAAAAGGACCGCTGTGGTCAAACGATGGGCGAGGAGCTGAATACATTCGCCCATAGTTGTCTACATCACAAGTCGATATTCATTCTCGAACAATCACTTGCTTCTTCTCAACTTCAAAGCTAAAACGTCCATTATGTTGACTTCTAGACCAAGTTACGCCTAACTGGTGCATTCATTTCCATCAACTTAGGCATGAACATCAGCGAGTCTTGGGCTTATTGAGTATGGATTCTGATGGCTATCTCTCCGCGCATTAAAGACAGGATCCGGTGGCTAAAAGTATGGTCTACCACTAGAAACTTCGGAACAACTGCTCCGTCAATCAGAACCCCTTCAACGTGTAGATTTTCAAAACCGATATATCAAGAAGTATGTAGTAGTATGGAGGCCGCGGCTGCACAACTTAGTGGAAGCAATTTTCGACACGGTGGCCAACTCTTCACGCGATAGCATGGATTCCCTGCAGAAACTGAAAACTCGTCCAAAAATCGTTCGTCGTCGTAATGCCTTGAAATCTCGGGTATAAACCACTTCTCGAAACAAATTTACGAAGGATTCTTAAATTTCGCTGATTCTGCGAATCTTTTCTCGCGTCGTAACACACCATTGTACTATTTTACATCAATAGTTCCACTTTTTCAAAATTTGAAAGTGGTAATTCAAAATTACCGGGCGGAGGTGGATTGATGGCAAGTGGCGCACTACCACACACCCATGGTCACGGGTTCGAATCCGTGATCGATATCTGACTAGACCATCTACGGCTACCTTCTATACGGGGTCGCTCCATTGATGCCAAATTCGTCTGGGAAGTTAAAAGCACTGAGTTTTATCAGCTGACACCACAATTCAGTGTATAGGTCACATAAGCATTCAAGCGATCACTACGATTCTGAATGGAAGTCGAAGGCAAGGGCACGTCCTCCAGATAGAATTGAACAAGCGGTCAGTACGGAACAAATTTGGGTAGACTAACTGGTATGATGCGAAGAAGTTTTAACATTTTCGCTGAGTCCTAACAATTTTATTTGCCAGTTATGAAACGCCAAATCACTCGAATGTATTGGTAAATGGTCTTTGAAGAAGTGCTGAGTGCCTACCGTCATTCACCCAGCACCGTTGTAAAACTCGTTTTCCCCCTATTATAACAGTATAAAAAGCGGAAAGACTCCGTTCAGGGTCTGACAGATAGAACATTTGTAAGTCTTGTTAATATACTTACAATTAGGCACTGGAATAAAAAACCTTGCAACTTCTCGAGCAAGCTAATCATTCTCAAGAGGAATCGTAAGTAGGCAGTAGAATACCTGAAAACTTGTACGACTACCATCGTCTCTAACTATCGAAGGTACAGTCCAAAAAAATTTTGGGGTGTCCAGCCTTAGCCGAATGATGGAACTGATAGTTCAGAACAATGGACTATGGCAAAGAAAAAACGCAAAAACTGGCGTTTCCAAAGTAAGGATTGAAAAATGTATTCCTGTGGATCAGAGGGAATGTGACGGCAAAAGTCGCACCGGAGTGGTGCTTGGATGAGCTGTCAAACATGTGTCCCAGTGCGTGCAGCCGGCTACTGTAAGCTGCCTGCTCCCGACGTGTGGGTCCCGATGCGAATGGTGCAGCTTTTGCAAACTCTAGCGTCTGGAGTTCGAACCTCGCATCGACCTTTCTCCGATGGTAACCGTAAGGCAATGTATAGGCTACATGTGGATTCGAACCGTCACTGCGATCCCAACTGGAATTGAATGCGATGGCACACTCCATCAAGGGACTGATCAACGCCAGAGACTTTAACCTTCAGACTTCTATCCCTATCATTTTGACGGAGTGTACCAGTGAAGTCATCGCAAAACCATTAATATTTTAATGCATTTTTTTACCACTACGGGAAGAATCGGCAAATAAATAAATAATTGACCGAATAAATAAAATTTGAAGAATTTTGGGTTCATATAATAGTTACAGATCGTTCTGATCAATCATTTATATGTTAAAGGGAGACAATCGATCAGAGCGACCAGCGACCAACGACGAACGCTACCACCTACGAGCAACCGAACAACAATCTGGATCGGATCGACGACGTTGATGATGATCGTTCAGATATCGGTTATGTTATATGGACAGTCATGCCCATTTCGCATGCCTGATTTTCATTTTCTATTTGACCTTAGTAATCAATAAACCAATAAAATTGCCTTATTCAACCACTACTTTTGCCTCAAGTATTATGTCTTTTCTACAGAACTGTTTAACAAAGAATCTCTGAAAACTTGCTCTCAATGACATCGTTCTGGAAGTCGATGATTAGAAAACTATCGTTCTGGAAGTCGATGAATAGAAAACTAGTTAATCGTGGCTCTACAGCCACCTCAGCAGGTCAACGTCTATAGAGTAACCCCAAGCACATATGTTTGTTATCCCCCCTCCCCACCATCACCCTCTTCCTTTCCAAGGACAAGGCGTAATCTCAAGTTGGAACGGAAATTTGTCGCCTCACCAATTGCCATATGATTCCACTCATTTTTTCCATGAAATCGGTGACCACCCAAATATGTATAGTCAATAAATGTTGTAGATTTGGAAATATCACGATATCGAAAGTATATTGAAAATATTTTGGAACTTTTTTTTATTTTTGACCTGCTGCTTTGGGGTGAGCCATGCACTCTGATGTTACCCATAACCGCGAGAACGTTTCATTTCATACTTATTATGTGTTGCATGAGAAAATCATAATGTTTTTAATATTGTACCGTTTCGAATGATCGTAATCGAGCGTAAA